TACAACTCTGTTTGTGAAAGGCTTATAGCTAGTGGAGTACAGATAGACAGGTGAATATCATCCAAATTCCTAACTGGCATGCAATATTATATATACAAGTCAACTACGCCTGTGAAAACGCGTCGAAAGCAACTTTGATGATTCTATCCTTCTTTCACACCTACGTAACCATGCGAAGTGTTAATAATTCGAGAATATATTTGAAATGCAGTATAATAAAAAGTAGATAGTACGATTTTTCAATTTGTTTTTTCATTTATAATATGTGCAATTTTATACATTTTGCGTTGTAAATATGAAGTGGTACAGGAGAGTTTAGCAAATATTAGAAGCACAAAGTGTGACTGGTAGCGTGTCTCAGATAACTTTTCTTTGTTTCTAACTAAAAAAAAAAAACTATTCAACGTATCGATATCGAACTTTCTCGATTGTCATATATTGTAACTTTTTAGTAGCAATAGTGTTGAGAGATTTTGAAAATTCAGCCCATTTTGTTGGGCTTTTACCCTCTCATATAGGTCATTAAATTGGAGCCGTCGTTCTATTCATGTCAAACTATAGTGTCCATCCTAAACATGTTTATTATCGTCCTTTTGGAGAAATTTGATTGGCTCTAGAGTTCGTTATAACAGGGTCATAATAACACCTAGGCTATGCCCCTATACCTTAGAATATCGATAGCGTGTCTCAGATAACTTTTCTTTGTTTCTAACTAAAAAAAAAAAACTATTCAACGTATCGATATCGAACTTTCTCGATTGTCATATATTGTAACTTTTTAGTAGCAATAGTGTTGAGAGATTTTGAAAATTCAGCCCATTTTGTTGGGCTTTTACCCTCTCATATAGGTCATTAAATTGGAGCCGTCGTTCTATTCATGTCAAACTATAGTGTCCATCCTAAACATGTTTGTTATCGTCCTTTTGGAGAAATTTGATTGGCTCTAGAGTTCGTTATAACAGGGTCATAATAACACCTAGGCTATGCCCCTATACCTTAGAATATCGTGATTTTCTTTTGATTGGTTAATGTGGACGGTGCCATAGACACCTTTTTAAGCCACGCGATGGTAATGTTCTAGATGATGCCTCCCAAGGTTCAGCCTGTTTGGGTGAGACCTTAGGCAGATTTTTCTTGTTGTCCTGTTTGATAAGATAGACCTCTAACTCTAAGTGATTTGACAAGAATTTTCAGATCAAACAACAATAATATTGATGAAGTTTCTTGTTTTCTAAAGGGGTTGCTTCCGAACAACTAATGATATATGCTTAAACATCTGTCAAAGGCAAACGATGGCAATAATCTTTAATCGTGCAGTGTAAAGTTCTTTTTAATATTCTCACACGGCCTCATCCATCTTGCCTTGGCAATTAAGTCAAGAAGTTTACCAAACTTTTCTCCTTTTTAAGAAGTTATGAATAAATTAATTAAAAGTAGCATAATGGGTTAAAAAAAATTTAAGGTCAAAGGGGTTGGTGCACAAGGAACATGCAGCAGATTAGAATGTCAATTGACTTGATATGAATTTTCACTTACCCAAGAAAAAGCCCATCCTTAGGCCCATCTCGATTAATTACAAAGATTACGATGTCAATAAGAATACACTTTTAGCCTCCGTTTGGGCCCCATTAAATTAAATTTTATTTTTCTCTTTCTTATTTTTAAAGATACAATCTTCCATAAAATAATATTATATGTAAATCGAAAACTTTTTCCTCTTTCTCAATCACTCATTTTTTTAAAAATAAAAATAAAAATACTATCTTACCGATTATAATTCGAAATAATAGGGGCCAAACGGAGAATGGCCAAGATGCACTATGAGATTGTTACTATTATACATACACATTGAGATTGTAAGCATTGACTTGTGGGTTGACGTGAAACTACTAGAATTTAATTAGATAATACGTTTGATCTAATGGTACCCGATTTTTATTTACTTTCAAGTCAACTTTTGCTTATTTTTCACTACATTTAAAATCCAAAATAGTGCGTCTAATAAATAATGTCTAATATAAAAAAATATATATGATAGTAGAAGATTTCTTTTAACTAATCTAAAAGTTATTTTTATAAAATTATTTTTCAAATAAAAAATGAAATATCATTATTCAGACCCGTGAAATCTCGAATTTCACATAGAGACAAACTACAGAAACAAAAGTAGAATTACAGTGTACACCAGTTTGAAGTTTCACACGAATAACCGACACGTGCCCTCGCCGACACAGTAACGGGGCTACAATGTGGGGCCCTACTTTTTTAAGAGGATTAAAAAAAAAGCATCATTAATTAGTCGAAATTGACTTATATTTGCATGTGACTTCTCTCTCCTCTTCACCATCAGTATCCTGTCAATTGAATTGCCTTTTATTATACGGATAATTAATGAGTAGTAGTAGTAGTACTTAACCTAATTAAGACGTGATGTAATTAATAAATTAAAATAATTTATAAACTTTCAATTCTAGAATCTCGAGGAATTAATTGTTTCAATGGTCACTGAACTTAGACTTGTGTCTTTGATTCGTCCCCGAAGTTTAAAATATCGACTTTTGATCACTGAACTTAAATCCATATCTTCGATTACCCATCAAAGTTTAAAATGTCAAATTTTGGACAATGAACTTTAAAAAATACCTTACATTACTCACTATCATAAATGTTGAATTTTGAAAAAATATCAAATTTACAGTGAGTGCTGTATAACATTTTTCAAAGTTCAGTATCCAAAACTCGATAGTGAGTAACGTACGGTATTTTTCAAAATTCAGTGGTCAAAACTCGACATTTTAAACTTTAGTGAGCAGTAGAAAACATTGACCTAAGTTTAGTGGTCAAAACTCGACATTTTAAAGTTCAATGATCAATCAAAGATATGGAACTATGTTCAGTGACCGGTTGAACAATTAACTCAATCATCAATCAAACCTATACTTCATGTTGTACGTTAATATTTCCTTGCCTTATTAATTGTAATAGTGAAATGTAAATTATTAAAATGATCCTGTCAAAAAAGAAAATAGAGAATTTTAAATTTTTGAAAGGTAAAAATCAAAAGGATCTTGAAATGATTAACCAAGTGATTATGGTAGAAAATCTGTCTTGGATTCTAGTTGTCGATTGCCAAACACTAAAGCCACCAATTTTGCAATGAACTAAGGTGTGCTTAGACAGTAGAATCAGACAGGATAAAATTTTTGGCAGTTTTTACTTTATTTTGTTTATAACTTTAATAAAAAAGAAAAAAATTTGCTACGACTATTTGCATTGATCGACTGATTTAATGTAGAATATTAGACAAAATTAGCTTATTTTAATTTCTCGTACTCTTTCACCAAAAATAATAGAAAAATACGTAAAGGACAAAAATATACGTGAACAAGTCATACTCGGCAAGCGACAATTCAGGCGCAAGTTGGTGCACAATGTGAAATTGATTAAAGAAAATGGCTCACACACATCCAATTGGCGAGGCCAATTGATTTTTAATTAATTTATTATTATTATTATTTTTTGGTACATAACTCCAACTTATTTGATTTTTTTTAATGATGTGTCACTGAAAGCTACACCAATTTTAGAGAGAGGATTGATGAAATAGAAAATAATTGGTCTAGACGTCAAATATAGAGCTTGTCTAATTATGGTTAAATTTTAAATTATTTTTGCAAAAAGTGAGTACTTACTTTCGAGAAAAATAGATTTGTAGCACAAAAGGTAAATTTAAAAATTATTTTAGCAATATAAGTATTTCAAACTATTTCAGATTGTCTCCAATCTAAACGTTTGTGTGTTGACGATGCAAGCTTAGTTTTAGCCGTATAACTAGAGGTAATGTTATTCACAGTCGCTTACTGTGGTAGTCGTCCTACGTGATATCCTATATGGTAGTTTGTGATTTGATGTATTAATGTGATATTTTTTTTTTTTTGCGACATATATGAAATCACCAACCGCCACATGAGTACTACATAAAGCGACTGCGGTAGTGAATGACTGTAAATAGCATTATTCCATAACTGAAATATGAAATGTGCATTTTGTAGAAATTTCTTTTTAAGAACCATTTTAATTAGACAAAATATTTAAAATTATTCAAAAGTAATTTCTTATTTTCCAATGTAATTTTTGATTTTACAAAAGTCATGTCAAATGAACACTGAGATGTCTATTTTAACTCAAGTCTTGAGATCAAAGATAGTGAGATAACTTAGTTGAACCGAAGAAATAAAAGCTTACAAAATTAATGTAAGTTTTCATTATTAATGGGACAAAAGGTATAATTATAACAAGAAACTTATGGTGGCATATTCCTTAAATGTGCATGCCTTTAAAGGAGGTAACAGGCGTTATTACCATTATGGCGTGCCCCGTCCAAATCCTATCCGAACCTATCATGAAATATTAGGGTGCGGTTGATTTTCATTTTCATTTTCATTTTCAAAATAATTTTTAGTTTTCCCCGAAAATGGCCCGTTTTCCGCATTTTCGACATTTATAACTGAAAACGCTAAAAAGTCGTTTTGCGTTTTCAGTTATAAATTTTAATTCGTTTTCGAAAACGACGGACCAAACGCGTTTTCGGCGTTTTCGAAAACGGAAAATGGGTGAAAAAGGGCAAATCAACCACGGCTTAAGTGTCTGATTGAGAAAGCTAAAATCTGATTTTGATAATAATAAGTGATGAAAAATGAGTAGTTCCAAACAAGCACTAAATACGAATTTATTTAAGTTATCATCGACTCTAAGTGGAGTATAATTCTCTCAATCCCTCTCTAATTCATATGGGGAATTAATTACGTAGAGCTTAAAGTAAAGGAAGAATTACAGTTGGCACTGAACTCTACTTATTAAAAAGCAACCCGTCTTTAATAATGTTTTCAAAAGTAAAATAATCAGATTTAATTTAATTAATTATACAGAGGGAGAGGGGCCCAATAATTTAATTTAATTTAACTAATTCTAATAGAAGGAGGGAGAGGAATAGATAGATGGATACATTTCTTCACGAGCGACCTCTGTTGAGATTGGATACACGTTCTACAATCCACACTGAAGTATACTGCTTCTGTATATATATCCATATCCTCTTTATATCTATCTCTCTCTCTCTGAATTTGAGTTAAAACTACTGAGAGAAAAGGGGAAGGAAGTGAAGAGAAGATTATTGCTCTGTGTGTGTGTGAGAGAGAGAGAGAGAGAGAGAGAAAGGGGAAGAAATAGCGGGAGATTGACAAAAGAAAATCTTGGGGTTTAAAATTTGATGAAAATCCGCAGCAGAATGGGCTGAAAGTGAGGGAATTCGGTTTCTTGCTTACTCGGTTTCTTGGATAATTTGCATCTTTTAAGGTAAAACTATAAATGCAAACTGTTGTTTTCTGCAACTTCTTCTCTTGTGTTTTGTTTTTGCTCACTTTGGTAAAAAAAAAAGAAGAGTTTTTGTTGTTTTCTATGTAATTGAGATCCAATTTGGTTTTTAGTGAATTCATATCTGGACGATTTTTTACTATTTATATTTGAGGGATTTAGCTCAATTGAAGTTTGTGTCAACTCAACTTGTTCTTACTTGGTGGGTAAGGTAAATACTAATTACTCGTATACAAGAACTGGCAGCTTATTTTGTTATAATTTATAATTAATCAAGTTAATTTACTCTTCTTGGTTTCTTATTTCAATTCTGCATTTTCTATTTCCATTTTTAGTTCAGTTCACTTGTGCACTAAAAAAGCTCTGTTTTTAGGAGTGATATTCATTTACTTGTTTTCTCAATCTCAACATGTCGTGTAATATGTCAGTTCAGTGAATCTAGAATGGGATTTGGGAGAAGAACTTTCCCGAGGCACCCAGTTGTTTTTTTATTTTTATTTTTTTATATCTAGAGTTTATCGATGTTATAGTTATAGTTTCTAGATTTCCCATTTTTGATCCCTTTCTCCTGTATGATTTGTCTGTGGGGTTATTCAGGTTGAAAAAATGTCGAGGCCTCTTCATCGGGGTTCATCTGGGGGTGGAGTGCGAATCTTGGAAAACTGTAATGATTTTTGGGATGACTCTCAGATGAAAGAGAAAACTGAGAGGGAAGATTTGGATCGAAGTCGTACAAATGGTTCTCATAATACATATTTATCAATCAGATTCCCTTTTCGGTTTCTCTTCCTCGACAGTTTATCTTCAAAGCACAGTTTGAGTGACAATGGTTTTGTACCTGATCCCTTCAGCCCAGGGACTACGAGGAATCGGCATAAATTGTCACTTGCTTTACTCAAATTCAGTTTAATAGTTATTGTAGTTCTTGCTCTTACTGGATCCTTCTGGTGGGCGATTTCCATAACATCGTCAGCCAGAGGTCAAATATTTCATGGATATAGGCGGCTTCAAGAGCAACTGGTGTCAGAGTTGTATGAGATCAGTGAGCTCTCTCAAGGTTCCTCTAGGTTAAGAGACTTGGAATACTGTTCTCAAGAATCAGAAAACTATGTTCCATGCTTCAATGTTTCTGAAAATCTTGCTTCGGGCTTTTCTGAGGGTGAAGAATACAATCGCCACTGTGCACATGGATCAAGCCAACATTGCTTGGTTCTTCCGCCCATGAATTATAAGATTCCCCTTAGGTGGCCTAGCGGAAGAGATGTCATCTGGTTTGCCAATGTTAATATTACAGCACAGGAGGTGCTCTCTTCAGGAAGCTTGACCAAGAGGTGAGTTGGAAGAGCTAGTTTCTGCAGTTAAATATAAACATGGGGTTAAAAACGTAAATTTTATTTTTCCATGAGTTCCAAATACAGGATGATGATGGTAGATGAAGATCAGATCTCCTTCCGTTCAGGATATTCGACATTTGATGTCGAAGACTACACACATCAAATTGCTGAAATGATTGGGCTAAGAAATGAATCCTACTTTATACAAGCTGGAGTAAGTGGATTTCGATTGGCAGAATTAATAAATCTTCTTTCTCGGCTTTGATTCATTTTATTCGTTGTTTACCCATCCATTACTCCTGTTGATATCTGATGTTGTGATCTCTCTTTGAAAATCAGATATGGATAAATAAAACATAATGTGCGAGTCGAGTTGCCCCAGCATTCCAAATCAACGTTTATGTAGATCACCAAATATATCATGCACTATTTGACTTGCATTACATTTCATCTGCTCATCACTTTTCTTCGTAGGCAGTTTCTTTTCCGTGTACTTGAGTTTGCAAAGTTTATCGTAGATGCTATCAATACACTCTGCTCAGGATTTTGTGTAGTTAAGTCAAGACACTAGAAAAATGCATGGATTATGGTATATTTATATGAGAAATTAATAGACATCATTTGCTTTGTATCCATTATCTATGTTTGCAAATGATTTTGGTAATTTGTTCATGTATAAATAGATTCAAGTGGTAGCTTATGAACACTTGTTGGTTGTCTGGTAATAAGGTCTTCCAGAATTTCTTGATCAATTTTATTGCTCATATTAACGGATCTAATGCAACTTGTTTAGTTTCTCAGAGTATTCAGATATTTCTCAATCAACTGTATACTGTCATGTCTGTAATAAATCACAGTAATAATTGAAAATCCTTCTCTAATTCCATTTTATAACTGCATGATGGTTTTATTCCATGTCCAGGTTCGAACTATCTTGGATATAGAATGTGGTTATGGCAGTTTTGGGGCACATCTGTTTTCAAACAAATTATTGACCATGTGTATAGCGAACTATGAGGCTTCTGGCAGTCAGGTTCAACTCACTCTGGAAAGAGGGCTTCCAGCAATGATTGGCTCATTTACTTCAAAGCAATTACCATATCCATCCCTTTCTTTTGATATGATACATTGTGCACGATGCCGCGTTGAGTGGGATAAAAAAGGTATCCTTCAGTCCGTTTCATGCCATCATAGAGATATATTTTATTGTAATCTTTATTCTCCGTGGAAAAGTGAAATTTTGTGTAGAAACGATTAGATGATTAAGAGTCCACAATACTCATACGTGTACATTTAGTGATATGTAAAGTAGAGATGATGAATTTCTATCAAAGGGCAAGTTGAGAAGGATATGCTATCATGTTTGGGAATTTCTTATAAGAATTTGTATTGGATTTAAAGAGTGAATGGGTAAGAATCTTATCAATCGATACAGCTTACAAAGTTGTGGATAAAAAACTTAGGCTATATTAGGATTAATAATTTGAATCAATAGAATTTCAGGAAAAATGCTATGTTGATTTCTCAAGAGCTGCGGCTGCCTTTATTTTAATGCTTGTGCATGCTTTGCCAATGAAAAGGAATTTTGCTGCATGTGTATTGCAGATATTGGACTCCTCTCCCTCTCTCCTTGCTAGTGTGTACTCACACACACATACTTGTTGTCTCCTCTATGAACTCCAAAGTGACGAAATAGTTCAATGAAAGCTTGTAAACAATATATGGCCTATTTTTTTGTTTTATAATTAAAGCATCATATAGTGGCATTTGAGGTTCGAGTCTCACTTGGAGAAGTTCGGGGAAAGGGAGGGCTACCTATACTCCCCTCTACTTTGTATCCTATGAATCAGGAGAAAATAATATAAAAGCTTGTATACATGCTTGGACCTGAACATCAACAAACCGCTGATCCACCCTCCAAAAAAAATAACTGTGGGAAAAAAGAAATGTATCGAAGAGAGGTTTCTTGCATTTGATTTAACTTGAACATCAGCACGTGCATCACACTTCATTCCTAGTAGCATTCATTTCAAGGTTTTGCCGACTGCAGATGGATTTAACCTTAGTGGATATCTTCTTATGATTACATGTGATATTTTTTGTTTACCAGATTGAAATGCCTACTCTGAACCAGAATAAACTCGACGGTGTCTCATAACAACTGTCTGGGGTCACTGCATTTGTTTTCACATTAAGCTTTGTCTCAATTATTATTGTTATTATTATTATTTTTTTAATGAAGAATATATCTGAAAGGTTATAACTGCCATTTTTTATTTAGAATGTTGGCTGAATATATATTGTTTATCATATGATGCAGATGGCATATATTTTGTTGAAGTTGATCGGTTGTTGCAGCCTGGTGGATATTTTGTCTGGACTGATCCGCTTACGAATTCTCAGCGCTCCCTTCGCAATAAAGAAAACCAGAAAAAATGGAATGCAGTGCGTGGGTTTGCTGAAAATCTCTGTTGGGAAATGTTGCCACAACAAGATGAAACTGTGGTGTGGAGGAAGACAAGTAAGAAGAATTGTTATTCAGCGAGGTAAAGCAACCAGTACGAAACCTTTTTCTTCAATTTTATTTTATTTATTATTATTATTTTTTTTGGATTTACTTTTTCTTCATTTCTGTAGTGCCCCTTTTACTTATATTATACATATATTTTTATACGTATATATCCTCTTTCCCAAAAGAGAAGTCATCTGTAAAGTATCCTTCTATTTTAAGAAACATTATTTTGTGTGTTGAAAAATATAGTGCTTCCAAAGTAACCTTTGTGTTTCTTTTTATATTCACCTGGTTCCATATGAATAAGATAAAAGACTTTGCTAATAGAAAACTTTTTGTAGCTTGACTATTCATGCTAGACTATAATTTTTTCTCTGCTCTAAGTGGGGAATGTTATTCATCTGGAATGAAGTTTGTTAATCTATAACGTGCACAGACGAGTACATGTATCAGTTATACATCATTCTAATGCTTGATTGCTTGCTTGAATTTCTAGGAAACCTGGTTCTGGCCCTTCTCTTTGCAGCAAAGGCCATGACATTGAGTCCCCATATTATCGACCTCTCGAAGCATGCATAGCAGGCACTCAGAGCCGTCGATGGATTCCTATTGAAGACAGGGAAAAATGGCCTTCCCGGGCTAACTTGAATTCGAAGGAACTTGCAATTCATGGTAATAGACCAAATTATTCGACACTTAGTGCGTTAAAATTTTACCAAGGTTAAATACTTCAAATGTATTGCTACATTTTTGTTTGTACATAAACATCAACATGATGGTAATTATCTCACTGTATCAGGTCTGCATTCAGAAGCGTTTGCTGAGGATGCCATTAACTGGAAGTCAGCAGTCCACAATTATTGGTCTCTGCTCTCACCTCTAATATTCTCTGATCATCCAAAGAGACCAGGCGATGAGGATCCTTCTCCACCTTACAACATGCTGAGAAATGTCCTAGACATGAATGCTCACTTTGGCAGTTTCAATGCAGCCTTATTAGAAGCTGGAAAATCTGTATGGGTCATGAACGTGGTTCCTACAAGGGGAACTAACAATCTACCTTTAATCCTCGACAGGGGATTTATAGGAGTGTTGCATGACTGGTAATTTTTACCTTCTATTACATGGCATGAACAAGTTGCACTTTATTTATTTTGTGCAAACTCAGATATTTGTCATTTCCATCTTTACTACGGAATCGTCTTATACTATCCATTTTCTGGAATATTGTTGCAGTAAATACCCTGAGCAAGAAGCTTGTCCCTTCCACAAAATTTTTCCTGTGGAAACAATATACATATACATTTAAGATAGGAAAACAAGTCAGTTTCTAGTTCTCCTGCAGACTGGGGTTTTGTTCAACCATGACTGGCTGAGTCTATAAACATTATACAATTCTGATGGTGCTGAGCCTCTCCTTCCTGTTGTGTACTAAGATAACTGTGTATGGAAATAAATCCACTTCGATTGAGAGGAGTTCTTTTGAGTTTCTTCCCAGGGACGCTCGTTTCTTTTTGAGCAGTTTGGGAACTTGAATTTGAGAATGTAGGATGTCTAAAAATGGATGCCACATGCATCTGTTTTCTTTTCTTGAATTATCCTCCCACATAAAGAACCTTAGAGAGAGAGAGAGAGAGAGGTCTTCTGTCTTCAGAAATTAGCAGAGTCAGAGAATTCTCACGTGACTACCTCCTAATTGGTCCTGAGAAATCAGTTGAAGAGTATTTCGCACCAAGAAAAACCTATAGACCTCAGTTATTTGCTCGTGATATATTGGGACAACATTGGTTCCCTTGTTTAGTCTAAAATTGAGTTATGTTGGGTACTGGATTTACTGAAATTCAGTCTCTTGGTTTTTTGCATTTATTCTTGGGGTTCTTTTTGTCTCAAATGTATTTAATGCTTTCACAATTCTCTAATATCTTTTTGTTTATGTAACTTTTGCTCAGGTGTGAACCATTCCCTTCCTATCCAAGAACGTATGATCTGGTGCATGGTGAAGGGCTTCTCTCTCTTGAATTTCGTGAGCAGGCCAGATGCCATATGCAAGACCTATTCACTGAGGTGGATCGCTTACTTCGTCCAGAGGTATCCTTATGATTTATTGTCGTTCTAAATTCTTATCTTGGTTGTCATTCCTTCCTTTATATGGTTTGACCCAAATATTAAGGATAATCACTTTGGGACAACGTGATCTTCTGCAGTGACATCACTGTCAGCTTTATTCCTACTATGGCTTGAAGACATTCCATTCATTGTCTTTGTTCTACCTAACCTAGAACATTTAACTCTTTTAAGTTTTGACTCACGATTTATCCGTCAACTAATATCATCTTTAACCTATATTATAGCTCTTGAGTTTAATACATTTGTAGTTTGAACAAATTTGTATAGCTTCTTTCGTACGAGTAGGCATTATAGTACTCTTGCCCCGATTCATATGGCATCTCCTCTCTTTAAAATCTCGGGCCTTCTGTTTTGCTAATGGACACGTATGTGCAGGGGTGGGTGATTCTGAGAGACCGCGCTGCTCTTATTGAGTACGCAAGATCTCAGACAACAATTCTGAAATGGGATGCACGAGTCGTCGAGATTGAGGGCAATAGCCACGAGAAACTCCTAATCTGCCAGAAACCTTTCTTCAGAAGACAAGCAAGCTAATTCTCAAGTTGGGCAGGAGCCAAACATCGTAGTAGATGATAATATTCCCATTCTTTCCGAATCTAAAGTTATTGTCCTTAAGCTCCACAGAAACGGTGGCTGGCATATTTTTTTTTCTTTGAAACAGAAAGAGGCAGCGGGGAGCTGAAAACACGTATGGTTGGTCAAAACACAACTCCTATGGAACCGTAAGGTACACATAGGGACATGTAATTACACAGTTGAGGCACAGGCAAGTGAAAGAAGCACAAGTTTCCTTTTGATGTCTCCTTATAAAGAAACAACCACATGATAAATTTAATTGTTAAAATATTACACAATAAGCAAAGTATTATCTGATATAGTGTATAGAATGCTCAGACTTATATTTATTTGGGACCTCTCTCTTTCCCATTTTCTTGTGTTTCACCTCTGTATATTCATTATTTTGGGTTATGCTACTTTTCCGCCTATGTCTGTGTTTGTCTAAAATTTATAAAGATAACTATCTATTATGACTGTGTTTGGCTAGAATTATTAGTAACTCATGAGGAGGAATAGTAGTGAGTTTTATGATATCTCCGTTTGGCCCCCATTAATATTCATTACATTACATTCTATTTTTCTTTCTTTTATTTTCAACTACACAATCATTCATAAAATAATATCTCACGTAAATCGAAAATTTTTCTTTCTTTTTCAATCACTTTTTTTTTTTTTCCAAAAAAACACTATTTCACCCATTTTCATTTCTACAAAAAGGAGGCCAAACGGGAGTGATATTTAAGAATGTGTGGTTAAAATTAATGTTTGATTTCAATTGAAAATTATAAGTTACTGATACGTTTAACCAAATGTAGGATACAAATTCAAAAGCTTTAGGACATAGCATCCATAAGTAAATTGAGGACCTAGTTGCAAAATTTTATTCCGACCGTTGCACGTAAAATTTAATTTTGGAGGGTTACTTGATCAATAAATTAACACTAAATCCCATGTACACCATTGAGTTTTCACGTCAACAAATGACATTCAATCAGAAAAATAGGAGAGCTGAAAATTAGGAATTAAATCATTTGACTTAATAAATTCCATCATTTGGTGACACACTTAATGATTTAATGTTAATTTTTGAACCAAGTGACTATTAATATAATAGTTTAGACACTAAATCATTATTACTGCAAGAAAATAATTTCCTATCCGTTGGCTTAATTGGCCAAATATTGGACAAAAAATTAAAATCAGCAGGTTTGCTTATTAAATTTCTTCCTCAAAAGTCATCCGCAAGTGAGCTGATACTTCACGAGTGTCTTGAATGGAAGGCGTAAGCAAGTGTTGAGCTTGTGGGTTCGGTTTCATAATTACCAGTGGCACCATTAATTCCATCAAAAGAAAATCAAATATTCTCAACTCGATTTCAAATCTATTTGGAACCGAACCATTTGGAACTCTGAATCTTCTTTCTTGCTCAAGTTTCTGTTGCGTTAGAGATGTATTTATAGCAATAATTTGCTAGAACCATTGTGACCTGGGAATTCAATAGTCATATTGTTAAAACCTTCAGATAACGTCATAATGAACTCATTGCTTATGGTTGGCAAAACATCGTATGCTTATTACAACCTGGAAACCATGGACAATAGATGGAAACTGAAATGTGAATACCAAATCAAGAACTGCTGGTTTACAATTAAAAATTCAGAATACAACAAGCAAAGAAACTGGCTTTCAAGCCAGCGCCCCAAAAACTGGGAGTTCTAACGGGAAGAAAAAGCAAATGACTTTTCCGTCAGAGAAGTGTGATGATTAGAACGGCTTTTTGCGCCATGCCTGCTCTGGCGAGTAGCAGTTGCAGTTGCACTGCTCCTGCGCAGAGTGGAGGACGACGAACCCCCTTGACTCACCCTCTTCACCGCTTTTCCTCGGGTGCTCCGGATGCTATTCCCAAGTGCAGCTTTAGCAATTGCCTCCGAGCCTACCTCTCGTAGCTTGTGTGGATTTATAGTCTGCTTGTTGAGGAAAACCAGTTTTGGGAGAAGACTGCATATGGTCTTACGCAATTGATCATCACCAATATTGTTGTGAACAGGATTGCCTAATAGATTTAGAGCTACCAGAGAATTGGAGTTCGCCAAAAGCTGACCAAATGCTTTTGTTGTGGTTATTTTGTTGAAGCTCAAGTCCAATACGGTCAGCTTCAGAAGCCTATGCAGACCCTCAACATTACTTATTTTGTTGCCAGCAAGATAGAGCTCCTTTATAAGCATACAATTTGACAACCCTGGCATGAATTTAGAGCAGAAAAGCTCCATTAGCAACACAGAAAATACTATTCAAACGATATTTTCTTTGAACGTAATTTTATGGAAAGGGTTGCAAGATATTTACCTTGACCAATTCTAGAAATTCTGTTGTAACTGAGGTCAAGAACGCGGAGTCGAGTTAATTCTCTCAGACCTTCGATCGTGCTTATGTTGTTCTTGGACAGTTTAAGAATGTGAAGACCCTTTGGCAGAGATCCTGGAGTAATATGACCTGCAAATTGAGGGGAAAAAAAACTAAAGATCTTAACATTGATGTCACGCTAGAAATTGAACTGGCAATAACTGAACAACACACACCTATGGAATTGGATGACAAGTTGACTGATCGAAGGATAGAAAAATGAGAAACGGATGGTATAACTTTCAGTCCAATGCCTGTAATATGTGCCACAGTCGATGAAGAATTCAGAGACTGGACAACGCTGTTGGCGTATGTAATCTCCTCGGGAATCATTGCAGCTGGACTCCGAGTTGCTGGTGATCTATTATTCTCTGGAGAGGGAGGGAAGAAAATGCTATCTTCAGTGTGATCACCCTTGTTGACTTCAAATGGAGGCTGCACTGAAACTTCTTTCACCCACTTGTCGATTCTTTCAAATGGAGACGATTCTGTAGGAAAAGCAACCCACTGGTTTTGAGGCCACATTCCAGAAACTCCATAAAATCCGTCCCAGCTTTGGTTGTCTATGTTAAGGATGTCTTTACCCTTGTTTTCCTTACTAAACTTTTCAGCTTTTCTTGGCTCTATGGTGTCTGAACAGTAGCCACCTTGTTGGTTGAGGGTTGGCTTAACTGCAACTGGCCGTGGTTTTGTAGTCCTGTTTCTATGGAGGTTCCTGTGGCTCCAGAGGAACAATTTCCACCACAATTTTCGACTTCTGGAGGGAAGTATTTGACTCGAAGAGTGCTTCTTCAACATCACTTTGTCGGCGCTATGTTGAGTCATAACAGAAACGGGAGTTGGAGGATAATCCAGAATTTCGTCCTGGAACCTTTCTGCTAAACTTAGTATTTCCTCGAAAGATTTGGATTTAGAAAGAGGCACCTGTTCATCAAGTACATAATTCACATTCCTTATCAACATATCAGAGCACGAGCGCTTAAGCATTGGAGAAGCCCAAAATTCCGTCTTCCCAATGCCGGGATCACTAACATGTCCACTTCTAATCACCTCAATGCCAGCCTTAGAATCTTCATCTACCTCCTTTGGGTACTCATGATTTATAGTCATCCCTTCAAAAGTTTGATATTTTTCTTCATTCGAGTTTTCAACATGAGCTTGTAGATCAAAATCTGAGTTATCTCTCTTCATCGACAAATTCTCATCATGCTCATCTCCCCCTTCGTAGTCTATCTCTTCACCATCACCTCCAACCGGACTCTCGTGATTCATTACCTTCACCGTGCACCTAGAACTCCTTGGAATATGGAGAGGAACCGGAACACTAAAAGAAGCTGATTTCAACTCGGAACTTTCAGAAGTTTTGTTAAGATGCTCGAGCTTCACGTGCAAGGTGTTGACTTCCTTTTCCTTCTACAAGCACAGATGCAATGGAGATTTAAAAAATTGAGCATAATAGAACTAATAAAAAGGAAAGGGTTCAAATCATTCTAAGAAAAAGCAAATAAAAATAAATTGATCAGATCATTCTTACCTTATCTTTCTTTTTCCTCCATGAAGAACAAAAACAGTTAAGAGACGCCATTCTCAGTATCAATCTCACTCCAAATTTTCCTTAGTAGCTGAAAATTCTGAGAAACTTTAAATTCAATTAAAGCTCTTAAATCCAAGAAAACAGGGCTCTATGCAGACTATGGAAAGAACAGTTTTAAATACTGGAAATCAGATTGGATGGCGATCATTAGCCATAATCAACGGGTAGTCGCCAAAGCAACGACAGATTACAATCCGATGAATGGAAATACGGAAGTGAATTTCGGAGGTGGTGTTCTCTTGTTTTAGCCCTAGCCCATTTCAAAGAGGCAAACGATTTTACTGGTAGAGGGTCGGCCAGAGTGAAAAACTCAGCAATTTTTCTCCAGAAGCTTCACCATATTTATTCCTGCATATCCCATAAATTTGTCAAGACTAAATTCAAAAGAATAAACACGTAAAGGTTTTGAGTTCTTGCCAACATGGTAAAACTAAAGTTTTAAGTGTTGTGTAGGAGTATTTAAACTTTTAGCACGAACAGTCTGATAAGAAAAATCCATACGAAGAGTAATCAAGAAACACGTGCTTGGAGACCAAATCGTAAACAAACTGTTTCATTTTTCTCAAAAAAAAGGAAACCTGATTGGGTTTGGAAACACAAGAAATTTCCTTTTTAAACATAAAATCTTGATTTGAGCAAAGTTCGATTAAAATCTGAAAATACTGTAGGCAAATAAACAGTATTTTGAGAAGAAGTAAAAGAAACTTACCCAATGAAGATAAATTGTGCCAGGTTGAGAATTGCACAATTCAAATCTTTTGAAACTTGTGAAGTAGAACAGATAGTATCCCTCCAATTGTGCAGCTATGCCTGAGAATGCGTATGTAAATATGAGAAGAATTGAAAGAGATGAGAAGGGTAATGGTTGTGGGTCTGGGGAGAAAGGTATAGAAATAAGCGGCAATATTCAGAAAGAGACATATAATACGCGGATACCACGCGAAATGAACCACCCCAGACCTTTCTCAGCTACTGCCCTGATATTTACTTATATATTAATGTTAATAATATAGGTATAATCATAGCATTTCTTTCTAATTTATTTTTAAGCTTAGGCAAACATGCCGGAAGAGGGTGTTTGGTAGTACATATAAGTTGTGAATCCTATAAAATATTTTAATAATAACTGAATAGTAAATTAATTGGCACGCGATGTGACATTAAATGTATGAGTAACATGTTTATACATTTATGGTCCATTTGATTGAAAAGATAGAATTTGAGTTAAAAAATGAATTTCAGGGAAATGAATTGTCTAAAAATTATTTTACTGAAAATTATCAATTATTGCATTTGATTGGTATAATTTTTCACGTGAAAAATGTTGAAATAAAAGTGTTTTTTATGTTCGTTTGGCTTTATTTTATATAAAATTGTCAATTAAAATGATAGAATTTACTGGTATTGGGAATAGAATTTGTTTCCATTGCCCCAAAAAAATCATTTATCTTTTGATGTTCGTTTGGCTTCGTTTTAGGTGAAAATTGTCAATTAAAGAAAAATATTTTTTTTTTTTACAATTAGAGATATAATTTGTTTCTATTGCTTTAAAAAAAAAAAATAGTTAGCCTAGAAAACCAATTGGTTTTCCTTGAAAACCGAAAAAATTGCCCCTTTCCAAGAAAATCAAGAAAACGAATTCATTTTCCATTTTCTATGGAATTCAAGCCTTATCAAACATGGCCTTAGTTCTATAAAGTGTTCATACATTTAACCCTGTTTGTTGGAAGTTATAATTATTGTTTGAAATTTATTTTTTTATATACTCTTTTTAATCACACATTATATAATAAAATATTTTACATGTCAATTCAAAATTTCTTCCTTTTTTTCCTCACATATTTTCTTGAAAATTACTATTCAAAATATTATTTGATCAAATAATGACCATTAAACAAAAGAACTTGATGAATATCGTATTTTTTCACACATTAGAAAGGGCACCTGAGGGTTGTGTAGGGTCCATCACCACGTGGCCAGCATTTCAGTGGGGTCTGAATAGATTAGCACTGATAAGAATCAATCGAATCAGCTCAACTGATTTTACGGCGGATCATATCGACCGCAAATTTTAATTAATTTCCAAACCATGTATGCTAATAATTTAAAATCAAAATTTTAATAAATTTTTTAAAAATTAATGAAATATATAATTGAAAAATTATGAATTTCATGACAAATATGATTAAAATTAAATATTAACTTTACGAATAAAGCTACTCGTACATAAGAAGTTATACAACAATTTACATATAAATGATGTGATTAAATATAATTGTGTCAGAATTTATTCAGCCAAATTAAAAAAAAATAAAAATACATCACTCTTTTCTTGACACTCTATCTATATATTAAATATTATGTAAACAAATTATGTACATGTATATAAATATATAATTGAGTCGGAATTTATTCTCCCAAATTAAAAAATAAAATAAAAAATAAATCAATCTTTTCTTGACACTCCATCTGTATATAAATCATTATATAAACATATTATGTACATGTAGCACATAATTGAAAATTGATTTATATTAAAATATAAATTTTAATCCTTATCGAATAAAGGCTAAATTCTAACTTGTGTTAATTGTTATCGAGTTTGGCCAAGCTTTTTTTATTCTAAAAATCACACGCCGCTTGACATAATTATCTCGACTGCTATGATTCAAATAGCTCAGAGTCTCTGTCATAGTTTATTTTGAATAAAGCTGTCCCGGGCTCCGATCCAGGGTCGAGGTGGTCAAATCTTGGCCCTTGGATGTGTGTGTGAGGGCCCCCACATGAAAGTGATCAAGGGCCGAGGTGATTGCCACCTTGGCCTTGGAGCAGAACTCGGGATTTTATCCCGGGTTCTATAGCGTGATTGGTGTATTTTATACATGTAGAAAATTAAAATGATTCGATCGTCATTTAGATAAAAAATACACATATTTCAATGAAATACTAAGATTTTTTTATGTCCCCTGTTTTTTCATTGCTTATAGTAATTGGTTATTCATTATTATTTTTTAAATGATATGTTTTGTCTCAAAGATTGTATTTGAGTAAGTTTATTGCTCCTTTATTTTCACTTTTCATATTTTCTTCCATTTTTGAGGTTTATTTTCATTTCTTAACAAGAATGGGAATTTGATTATCAAGGAATAGAGACTTTAGAAATAAAGCCAAAGAATTAGCATTCCATTGCTATCATTTTATATACCTTTGTTTCAAATTGACATCGGGAGAGAGACTACATCGGTTGGCTGGACAATTAACTTCATTACGAGGTTATTCGAATATGAAATTCAATTTTGGAAATACATTGAGAATTATCATTTTTGTACTTAAAGTTCCATTATTATTACTTTCTTTTTTTGTTATTGAAATGATAGAATTTTTCCATATATAAAAGTATCATTTATTCTAGTACAAAAACAATTAGGTTGCATTTGATTATCAATATTTTTATAAAAATGTTATTTTTCCATCCAATTTCTTACTTTAATGCTGTTTGATTGATATTATTTTCATAAAAAGTATTTTTTCACTTTTGATCACATTATCATATTTTCTTTGAAAACAAAGAAAATATTTTCTTTAGGGTGAAAATTAAATCAACCAGACACATTTAATTGACAATTTTCATGCTATAGTTTCTAAACAATTTAATTGTCTAGAATTTTTTTCTTTCCATATAAATTTCATATTTACAATCATACACACCTTTATTGTCTTGAAAAGACCTTGTATTTTTAAAATTTTTTTTTATCTAATACCTCGAAATTGTTTGAGCTGATCATCACGTACAAATTTTATTCAACTCAAAACAAAAACATAAAGGAGAGAGATTCCTAAAAAGGACACATAAAAATAGTACACCACGCCTAATTGGTACCAATTAGGAACGTGCTTGGCCATTTACTTCTTTTATTTCTTCCTTGAAATTATATATAATTCATTTTTTTAATTAAAACACACAATCCATTGTGTCACAAGCATAAAATTGGTGATTATTACGTTGAAAATGGCAAATTTGTTGCATGTTGTATTTTAGAGTCAAATTTCATCGTTTAGGTATCCATTTTAGCATTTTTCCTATTTTGAATTAGGATAATTGTATTTTTTTTTTCATTTTTTAGTAATTTCCTAATTTTATTCAAATTTTTCTACTACATACAGAGTTCTAAAAAGCGTAAAGCGTAATTAAGACCGGAGTCAAAGTTTCAAACTTCACGAGTTTAAGCAAGCCTAAGCAAAGTTTAGGCGCAAAAATGCGTTTTATTATTTATAATATTATTTTAAATTTTTAATCATTTTAAAAATTATTTAATATTTAAAATAAAAACATATTAAATATCTAAAATTATAAAATACTATATTTATTTAATAATTCTTACCATTAGTCAATTATACAATTTTTAAGTTCTCGAAATGCAAAAAATTAGAATATTTTCATAGTTTCAATTTTCAACTGGACAAATTCCTACTCAATAGATTTATAAGAACTTCATACATGTTTTTGGAGTTTGTAATAAAAGGAGTATCAAGATCATAATTGCATAATATAGATAATACCATAACTTAAATCTTATTTAACTATTTAGATAAAGTCATTTTTAACTTTTGTACATACAAAATCTTTTAAATACTTGAGATTAAAGTCAAGTGAAAAGTCCTTTTTTTTTAAATAAATAAAATAACCTAAAGTCAAATAAAAGATTTAAAAATAATAATAATAGAGCGCGTCTATAAAAGACGAAAGAAAACCATTTAGGAATTGTTAAAAAAGAAAAAGAAAAAGTGTCTAGACGTGCAGCAAGACGTTTTGCCCGAGTTTCAAGCCCAGGCAAGCTTTTTAGCATGATGACTATATAAGGATTTTATTTTGACTCTTTAAATATTTGTTAAGGGTTTGAAACTCTAAAACTATTATCTGATTAAAAATATTTCAAATTTTCATTTTCTGGTGAATTTCAATATTTTTCAAGTTTATTCGAGCAACACCCGTTTATGTATCACTAACAAAACATTTATAATTAGCTAAATCGCAATGGTAGAACATTCTATGCTAAATATCCGTACTCAAAAAGTATACAACGGGTGTACGACAAAGGAATCTGTACACAGAGAGGCTACTGGAGAGCCATTTATCCCAATCAAATTGCAAAAGCCAAATCATACCTAAATCACTTAAATCTTGCAAGTGGGACAGGATAATGAATTGGCATATTCTACTGCTTTCGGTGGCTCATTGTTCACATCCAAAGACTTGAGTATTTTATTTAAAGAAGAAAAATTTGGAATCACGAGTTTTACGTCTTGAAAGAAGGCATCAATTCTATTCTGCCCCACTTTGATTGAAATATGCTATCGACTCATATCGTGTATTAGTCAAAAATTATGATAGTGATTATGATTTTTTTTTTTCATTAGATTCGATTCCAGAATTTTCAAGGCCATCCCACATAAAAATTCCAAGAATATATTATATATCTAACTTTATTGATCTTAATATCTAATGTCTATTTTGTGTTAAGACTATAAGGTTTCACATTTTTTGCTTAAGAATTCATTTATCATTTCCACTCCTTTTTAATAAAGGATGTGGACAAAGCTTTTGTCGTTGACTACCAAGTCCAACTTTTGTCGTGTTAGACTCTCCGACTTAAAAGTAGATGCCAAGGGCATATAGGTGAACTAGAAGCATCAACTAAATAGTACCAATTCACCCTTAGTCTAAATGTCCAAAATTGTTTTGTCGTTTTTATTGTTGAGTTTTTAAGTTACATTTCGCTTCGTAAAACTTTTATTAATGAAAGTTATTTGAATGCATACTATAATTTGGAACCCAACTTCTAAAACTTGCCTCAGACCTCAAAAATTTCAAGTATGACGTTGCCTATATTCACAATATGTCGCTAATGTCGTCCCGTCTAAGGCTTGAAGCTCTATGCAAACACCCCCAAGAAACGTATAAAATTTGAGCAGCTTTTATTGAACAAAAAGAATCAATTCCATTTTCATGTGGCTTTTAATTTTCAAAATGTCTATTCATTTGTTTTTTCAACTACGGAACAATGAACATTACATCTGAAGTAATGTCAACAAGAAGTAGCGTATGTGCTATCATGCATGGAGTTGGCGGGACTTCACTGTCACAGCCACCAAAAGAATCATATCTGCAATTATAAGTTCATTTATGGGACCGAGCTACATAATCCGAACGGGTGACTACATGATTAACATAATACACACACATGGAGGTCGGGATTATTTTATTCATGGGGGACTCACGTCGACCATGTGAGGGTGCGATCACTTGGAGTGTCAACGGCGTGGATGGTTTGACATTTTCCTCATATATGGCTGCTTCTATTGGCTGTCAACTTCGTCGTCGTAGGTCACTTTCATCTGTAGATGATTTTTAGGGCTTTAGGGTGGGTTTTTAGATGATAACGTGTTATCGAAAATATTATACAAACACCTGATTTTTCAATTCATGAAAATATATGAAGTACTGGCGGCTGGCCCAATTTCCAACGAGTTAGATCAATGTAGGTGGTCTTGTTTCAGTCTTATTGAGCCTAAGAAGTACACAAGTTCGGAAAAATTCGTATATTGCCCTATTATTAAAAAAAAAAAAAAAAAAAATCACACTTTACTATGTAATGAAGATATAACTATAAGTACTAACTTATATGCAAATTATTTCGAAAAATACTAATTTCCAAATATATATCTCAAACCACATTTGTAACTTACATATATTGAAATCGGTAGATTTCATGCTGGACATTATTGAGTCATCCATTTCTAGTCATGAAAACAAAAGAAAAATGATGGAGATACACCCATCTATTTTAGAGAACATACCGGGCATCTTCATCTTTTGAATCTAGCCATCAATATACATCTTTTGGGACATTAGCGAATTGTGGTGTTATTTTACACGATAATTTGGGTTTTCCTCGAGATCAAATTTGCTATTTATTTTATAATATTGCAAGAACTGATGTATGATATGCAATTAGACAACATCAAATGTGAATGTATTAGTTATAGTTTCGAATTGAAATATTTCTATATATACATACGTAATATTATCATTTGTAATTTGAAATTTTAATTGATTAATTTTTTTTTTTAAACTAAAAGACATCTGATATTATCATTTGTATATTGTCGTCTTCAAAATAAAATTTGGCAAGAAATTATTGATATCTATCTTCATTCATATGTATGATGTGACTCCGTGTGTCAAATAATTTAATATTTCAAATAATGTTGGGGAAAATAATCATTTCCTGGCAGATATTACTTTTTTAAAAGGTTGAACTCCAACCTTAAGGGTCCCTCACCTACTCACCTCTGGAACATCGTGAGAGAGGTTAATCGCGGGATGTGCCCCAACAGGCCAGGGAACAACAGCTGTCTATACACTGGTGCATACAAAGAGTCACAATCTATGTTTTAGGAATCGAACCCTCACAGAGATTGCTTTTTTCATTCTACGCACGGTAACACTTTCAATAATGTTCCTGAGATACATAATCATTTGAGTGGATTTGGGGAGGTTGTAATGGGATATTAGACCAGTTAAGGGGTTATCAACGTGGGGAATTAATTACAAGGGCTTGTTTGAGGGAGTGAAATTGGCTATCGTATCAATTGATTGTAATTTCGGCCTTTTGATTTTACTGTGAAAATAAAGTATTTATGATGAAAAAAGAGTTCAAAAGTAATATTTGAATATTAATTATGGGGCTGAACAACGAAATTGTCAAATCGCAAATTAGTTCCACATGGATTCGTCAACGTTTTGATTTTGAATCAAACCAAACCAAGTGGTTTGGTTTAAGTTTCAATATTTGCAAACCGTTTTAAATCGCCAAACTATTTATCAAAAAAAACTTTTTGAAAATAAATTAGTCTAAATTCTATTTAACCCAATTAAAACATAACACATTTCAATTAAAAAGATACACCCATATTAGACATAATTCAATTAAACTCAATTCGACAATTGCACATCTCAATTAATTAATTAAATCATATACAAATACTCATTAGTCATCACAACTGTGAATGTAAAATCCACAAATTGAGTAAAGTGTTGAACAATTGCTACTAAACTATATTCATCAATTTTCCATTACAATTGAGTAGACAATTAAATATAGATTTTAATTCAAACTTACACATTTCATTTCATTCTACTAATAATTTTCTCAAATTTGGCCTAAATTCAAGTCAAATAGTCCAAATTCTTTTAATTTATTTGGTAATTTTTCTATGTTTTTATTGGTACTTATGTCGTTTTATTCTAATAATTGTCGGGCTTCCTTAAAGTAATCCATTAATATTTGGATGGAGTAAAAGCACTGAATGATTTACAAAAAGTCACAGCAGCTAGGTATTATTGTATCCGATTTTTAATTCATTTTTTATTATTTATTTTATATCATTTGACTATAATAAATGAATTCATGTACTATATTTTTATATTTATGAAGAGAATGAATTGTATATTACAATTGCAGATTGACACCATTAATATCGACTATGAAGTTGAATTTTTTATATCATGTTGTTGCATTATAATGATTATAATTATGTAACTTTGATGTGTAATTTTTTAATAATAAAATTTATATTTTAATATGAAATTTTATGCTAATATTTATGATTTAACTTATTCGATATATATTTAATTTTATCAATATTAAACCATGGTTTTTAATCGAATCAAACCGAAGAAATGGTTTGGATTGGTTTAGTTTAAAAATTGAAGTGGTTTGAAAAAATGTCAAACCGCTTTAAATAATTTGGTTTGAAAATTTGCCTCAAATAATTCAAATCGAACCGCGTTCACCCTAATTTAATTTCCACTATTACGTTTCAGGTGGGCCTAGTCTCCATCAATACTGAGCCCAAAATATCAGAAGGAAGAAAAAGTGAAAATTATACTTACTGCCCTGCAAAATTAAAGAAATAGAATAATACCCTTTTAATTAATTAACACGTTTAATTGCATATTTATTATGTTCCAAAACCTTAAACCTCTGCCCAAACCAATACCCAATTTTAGAAATCCAAATTTATAACGAGCAATGGAAGACGTTTTTTAAAGTTTAGTGGCCAAAGTTCTACGTTTTTTAAGTTCAGTGGCCAAAATTCGATTAACTAAATATTCAGTGAGTAATTAAAAATATTTTTCAAAATTTAGTGGCCAAAATTCGATCATTTCAAAGTTTAACAATGTGACGGGACGCCATGTGTGCATTTTATTAGCCATGTTATCAATTCCGCTAGAGATTTGAGATGAAAATTATGCTAGTGAATAATGTACAATATTTTTCAAAAATTTGAGTGACGAAACTTGATATTTTAAAATTTAATGGGTAATCGAAGACATGGATTTAAGTTTAGTGGCCACCGAATATTTTAAATTTTAGTGAACAATCTAAGATATTGATCTAAATTCAGTGACTATTGGAACAATTAACTCATATTTTTTGCTTTCAAAAAAATTTTCATATGATTTTTTCAAAGATCCTAATTTTAACTTATAAGTTGTCTGAAGAGGAAGGTGTAATCAAACGGCCCGGCCTGCATATAAAAGCCCCTGCTCCTTAAAATGCTAAGGTAAAAATAAATGAAAATAAAAAATCTCAAGGAAGAGAATTGTCTAATCTGAGCTTCTTATGTTAACGTGCGCTGGGCTCCTTCCTCACTTCTTCACATCCTTTTTTCCTGTATAATTTAGGGTTTCTTTTGGCGGATACCCATGTTTTGAATTCGTTAATTAGAAACCCCGTTTATTCAATTACGAAATGGCCATTTTATGGAGAATTCATTATAGTGCTGGGTTGGCTCTTTTTCTTCTTTTGGGGAAGCTAACGTGCGCCGACCTCGTTACGGCTTCATCACCACCAGTTTGCCCCTTAGAATCCTTCAAAGACTCCATCTTGGGGTTCCATGATTCCACCTGTTCAGTCAGTGGGATCCGATCTTTTTATACCGCTGGTGTAATTGAGGTACCCTATTAATTAGTTATTTATACGTTTTCCTATGCAGACTTTTTATTTATTTATTTCTTTTATTATTTTTTGAGCTATTTGTTTTGCTGGATTTTCTCGTCTTGCTTTCAGTTAATTAGAAATTGGGGATTTTTTTTTTATTTTTTTGGTAGATGGATTTTGAATTGTCAGTGGTCTTGACTGGTATGTTTGTGCTGTATGAAACAGTATGATTAACTTTTGTGTTTGTGCTGTATGAAACAGTATGATTTACAATAATTCACGCTTGAATATGTGGTTATAAACATTTAAAAATTAAGATTTATGTTATCCATTTCAGCTTTTATCATAATTTTTATTTTATTATAATTTATGGTATGTACCGACAGCATAGTTTTTGTTGCTTAGACTGGCAGGGAATATATAACATGTCTATTATCCAGAACAAAAAGTTCGAATTTTTTGAAGGTTTTTGGTTAGCTAGAGCTACATACATTGTCCCGGCTTTAGCCTTCACCAGCTACCCCTGTCTACTGCACCTCCATTCTCATGCCAACCTTGTGCCCACGCTGTTCTAACAAGAACTACGGGCCTTTCTTTATCCACCATAGGCTCATTGCTCCTTACAAAACATGGAACTTCTATTGTCTTTGAGAATACCATTGATTTGTATAAATCAACTTATTTACTTAATTAACTTGTATTTCTACTGGTTTAAGAAAGGACTAATCCTTCTAAGACTTATATCTTAGTCATAATATAATTGTGAAACATATTAAAACTTGATATGATAATCTTTAAGTTAAATTATAGCTCTGAACTATGGCATGAGTGTAATAGTGACTGATGCAATGCCACTGAGTTTGTATTAGTGGTGGGTTGCTTCGAAAATAGTTAGGCTAAAGAAAGGGATGGGAAGAAGAGTTCATTGCAAATTTTGTGAAGAAACAAAAGCATTTGACTGTTGACAGCAAGGCTTTAAGGTCTGAAGTGAACTATAATGATGTACAGAGATAGAAAGAAGGGCTGTATTTTGTAATAGAGAGTGAAGTATTTGGAGGTGAAGATAAAGGTTTCAGATGTGTTGCTGAGATGTAGATATAAAATAGGATTAAGAAGAGACGTAGAAAAAGTATGAGCTGATGAGACGTAGAAAAAGTATGAGCTGATCTGAAACTGAGATGAACGCATCATATATCTTCATTCATTTTCTCCATGTGGTGCAGCGCTCGTGTATGGTGTATCAAAATATGAGACTTGGAGACCTAGAGTATTTGTAGGTTAAGCGACCTTGGTCCAAGTTTCAGAACATGAACAGGTCAAATTCTATTGTTCATCTATAGTGTTAACCTAATTGATTACCTGGAAACTAAGTGGCCATTATAAGACTGATTTGTCACCATCTGGACCACATTTCAACTTATATGTAATTACCAAAATACTCCATACTTATTATTAAAAGCACAAGTTAACACAGCAAGCTCTGTCAACACATTATTAACTACCCTTGACAAATTTGTTTGGACCAGAAGGTTTTTTAAATTGATGTAGGATGCCCTATAGTTTTTGTCCTAGGCTTCCAAAGCGTTTGTCTTCTCTAGCTATGCAGTGATTTATGAATAACTAATGAGCTGAACTTACACCATCTGGGGTGTTTCTAGGCCATGGAATGGGATGATTTGAGCTCCCTAAAAGACAAGCTATTTACTATGTCGAGTCCCAAGGGAATCGCACATAAAGATGTACCAACTTGGCATAATTATCAATTTATGGTTTTTGGTTATCAAATGTTCTTCTCCCTTTCATTTTTCTCCATTATGTGATGGTGATGGAGACTACCAATTTTTTTATCTGTATTTGGAAACATGGTTTGCTTGTTGACTGCCTTCTCATCTTGTTTTTGGAGAGTTTTGGTAATGATAATTTTTCGTTGGTGAAGGGGGATGAGGTCACATTGCAGAAGGCACTGCACGTGGTTCACAAAAATACAAATGATTATGTTGCTCTTCTCTTTTATGCATCATGGTGTCCTTTCTCTGGGACATTTAGGCCAAGCTTCTCCGCCTTGTCATCCCTTTTTCCTTCTATTCCTCATTTTGCTATTGAAGAATCAGCTGTTAGGCCAAGGTCTGGACATCAACAATTCTTACTTTATACATATTATGACATTGCTAATTTTTGATTAATATCTTCATATATTTTCAGCATCTTATCAAAGTATGGAGTTCTTGGGTTACCTACTTTGTTTCTCTTGAACTCCACCATGCGCGTGCGGTATCATGGTTCTCGAACCCTTGATTCTCTTATCTCCTTCTATAGCAATGTTACTGGTAAGACTTCTACGTTCTATCACTTATCTTCATATTCTTGAAAAATCAATTAGTGCAATTTGACATAATTTACTTAATTATTTTTCTTGTCTTCTTTACTATTAATCTTTAAGGTTAACGCAACTAGCTCTTCAACGTAAATTGACGATCTTATATTAAATAGGAAATGAAGTTAATGCCTTAGGCAGTTCTTGCTGTAACTAGAAAGTAAACACTGCACAGGTTGCTCTTACTTTGCAGTTATTCCACTTGATGATTTATCCATGGCAATTCATAGCAATATAGATTTAGCTCCTTGAAGTTTTGTGGTTTCCAATTTCCCTGAATAAACTTTCATTCATCTCTCCCACCTGAAAAGTAGTGAAAGGGAAACAGAGAAGGAAGGTCCCCACAAAGAAGCAAGCCATGTTTATTCAGCACATGATTCATTGAAATGTCTTTCATTTTCATTTAAGGAACTATTTCCCTATTCAGGCACGAAGATGGCATCAGTTGATGGAGTGTGTTTGGACAAGATTGGATGCTCTCTATATCAAGAGGAGCACAAAAGTGACAAGGAAATTTGTCCATTTCCTTGGGCTAGATTCCCTGTAAATTTGCTTCAGCAGGAGACGTGTCTGGCCCTGGCCATTCTATTTGTGATTTTGAGATTAGTCTATTTCTTCTTCCCATCTGTGCAAGGATGTACTCAATTATCTTGGAGGAGGTGTGTTGTAAAATTGAGGAGTTTGTGGAAGCATCCCGTGATGTACCTCAACCGAGCAATTCCGTTGTACAATTCCCTAGAAGAGCCTTGCAAGAAAAGCAATTTGCACGAAGGAGCTAAGAACGCCTAAGTATGGGCATCCAAGTCTTTAGCTTCTGTTTCATTTCGTGATGCAAGCTCAAGCCGTGATTTGTCAGTAAGTTCTGCCAACTAACATTGTTTTGTTTCCATTTTGGCTCCCTGGAACATGATAGCAGCTACTTCAACTATATGTATGTAAGGTTACGGCAGCATCACCAAATGTTGGTCAGAGTTTATTCTTTTGGAATTTCTTGCTGCCCATATCTTAAGATTTGGCAAAGAATGCTCTATGAATTGCCATTGTAATAATTAGCTCAATTTCAATGTAATTTAGATTAGAATTTGTTTTGACCATCCGAAAACCGAAAGTAACAGTGGGTTTAAATCTATGTACAGCTCAAGTTCATTCTCGTGTTGTTCTTTATTTTTATTTATTTATTTTTTTCCCTTATTAATGTGTTATATGGTGGTTAATTCCTCATCAATCCCAAAACCGAAAGGTTTGGTCGAAATTGTTCAATTAAAATTTTATTTTTCTCCGATAAAGATTATTGAATTTATTTGATGTACATGTAATTTTATCCAGTATTACGAATCATACGCTATCATAATTATGTAGCAGGCAATTGACAACCACTTCGAACCAATGTGCCAAGTGGGACTTTGCTTTTCAACCAAATCTTGGACAAAAGGTGAAGAAAATGATTATTGATGATTGTTTTGACTCTAATTTATACTTGTTTAAGTTGATTATGTAGTAATATGATCCCAATCCATAATGATGTACCGGAAAAATGCAAAATTTTTGTTACTTGACCAACAATGGGAAAGAATCAATTGAAAACCCTCTTACCTAATTGTAAGTAGTGTAATGTATTCCTCATACTACATAATTCTATCTTTTGTTACCAGTATATGTCTAATATTAATCATATCGAAATAAATTTTCATTTTTTTTTGTTTTGCTAAATGAAAAATCTTTGATAATTCCAATAAAACTAAAGTTTTCCTTATCATTGTCAATGTTTGGTATGGCCAAGTCCAAATAATCCTTCTTCTAATGACCGTATTGATTTGATTTCCATTTTTATCAAAATATTTTTCTCTTTTTTCTTTAAATCACACATTTTTCATTAAAATAATATTACACGTAAATAAAAAAAATTTCTCTATTTTTCTTTCACACATTTATCATCAATCTACTATTTTAAAATTCATTTTTCCAATAAAATGAGTGTCAAACACCCTCTGAATTTTACAACAACCATGGTTGTATTAAAATTGACATTAAAACTTTTCAAAACTAATTGGTATAGTATTAGGATCTTCGTCCTCGATTTCCCAATTGATTTTATCCCGCTAAAAGAGATGATAAATGGTTTGCATGGGAAATGTTATATTTAATGATTTTGCCATATAAATATAAATGATATAATGAACCATCAAACATGCCATTTCAACTTTGAGCCAACCATATATGTTGTTTCTTTCACACCAAAATCACTCTCTTAAATTTAATATTTTAGGGTAAATACGTAAAACATCCATATCTTTGACAGTCGTTGTGCAAAACGTTTTTATCTTTCATTTTTTTGACATTTTCACCATTAATTACGCTTTGATTGCACGATACGTCATTTCATCCAACTTTTCCGTTAAGTGAACAGTGTAGTCAATATTTTATTTTTATTTTTCAAAATGAAAGGGTATTATCGTCTTGATACATTTTTTGCCCTTCTCTCCACAAGGTATAATCAGCAAAAGCCGGTGAGTGCCCTCGAGACATATTCCAGCGGCATAAAGGATAAGAGTGAAGTAGTCTCAACTTTACTGACAGTTGCAATGTGAGGGTTTAATTCCAAGATATGAAATTTGACTCTTTGTGGGTACCAGTGTATGAGCAATCTCTTCTTCCATGGTCTGTTGGGACTCATCTCCCGATTTAATTGATGATTGTTTTGACTCTAATTTATACTTGTTTAAGTTGATTATGTAGTAATATGATCCCAATCCATAATGATGTACCGGAAAAATGCAAAATTTTTGTTACTTGACCAACAATGGGAAAGAATCAATTGAAAACCCTCTTACCTAATTGTAAGTAGTGTAATGTATTCCTCATACTACATAATTCTATCTTTTGTTACCAGCATATGTCTAATATTAATCATATCGAAATAAATTTTCATTTTTTTTTGTTTTGCTAAATGAAAAATCTTTGATAATTCCAATAAAACTAAAGTTTTCCTTATCATTGTCAATGTTTGGTATGGCCAAGTCCAAATAATCCTTCTTCTAATGACCGTATTGATTTGATTTCCATTTTTATCAAAATATTTTTCTCTTTTTTCTTTAAATCACACATTTTTCATTAAAATAATATTACACGTAAATAAAAAAAATTTCTCTATTTTTCTTTCACACATTTATCATCAATCTACTATTTTAAAATTCATTTTTCCAATAAAATGAGTGTCAAACACCCTCTGAATTTTACAACAACCATGGTTGTATTAAAATTGACATTAAAACTTTTCAAAACTAATTGGTATAGTATTAGGATCTTCGTCCTCGATTTCCCAATTGATTTTATCCCGCTAAAAGAGATGATAAATGGTTTGCATGGGAAATGTTATATTTAATGATTTTGCCATATAAATATAAATGATATAATGAACCATCAAACATGCCATTTCAACTTTGAGCCAACCATATATGTTGTTTCTTTCACACCAAAATCACTCTCTTAAATTTAATATTTTAGGGTAAATACGTAAAACATCCATATCTTTGACAGTCGTTGTGCAAAACGTTTTTATCTTTCATTTTTTTGACATTTTCACCATTAATTACGCTTTGATTGCACGATACGTCATTTCATCCAACTTTTCCGTTAAGTGAACAGTGTAGTCAATATTTTATTTTTATTTTTCAAAATGAAAGGGTATTATCGTCTTGATACATTTTTTGCCCTTCTCTCCACAAGGTATAATCAGCAAAAGCCGGTGAGTGCCCCCGAGACATATTCCAACGGCATAAAGAATAAGAGTGAAGTAGTCTCAACTTTACTGACAGTTGCAATGTGAGGGTTTAATTCCAAGATATGAAATTTGACTCTTTGTGGGTATCAGTGTATGGGCAATCTCTTCTTCCATGGTCTGTTGGGACTCATCTCCCGATTTAACTCTCTCACGATGTTCTAAGGGTGGGACCGTGGGAACCTTCAAGATTGGGGTTTAACCCTTTTTTTTTTTTTTTATCAAAAAGCAAAAGCCAGTGAGTTTTGCAGCTGCAGAGTGACAATCTGGTTGGTCTTTATACTTCAAGTGGGACCAGCATTTCTCCTGAATGTTTCAGAAAAGAAATCTTCTTCTAGAGATTGGCGAAGAAGCAAGAGGATTATCAAATGTCACCTTAAAATGTGGAAAATAGAGTTAACTTCTGCTTCAGTAGTAGGCTCTGAGAAAGCGAGCACCCAATTCCTACAACAAGAACTGGGCTCATATCCATCATAAAACACGCAATCTTGAGCATGGTGCAATTGAAAATGGAAGGCGTGAATTGATGAAGTAGCAGCTCCACCATGAACTCTATTTGAAAGTTACGGAAATGGAAGTGGCTTTTGGTCCATTTGATTAATAGAATATCATCGTCTTATAGATGGGGCTCTTGCAGTTGGAAAGTAATAACATTCATTTTACTTCTTATGGTACAAACTTCCCTCAATCAATTTTTGTAGAATAAAATGAAAAAGAACAATTTCTGAAAATAGATACACCTCACCCCAAGAAAACTTCATATGATTTGTAAAAGAAATGAACAAATACACGTTTCATTGTACAAGCAAAATGCCAAAAACCTACCTGTACATCGATTGACAGTAGAAACAAATAATCCGAAAGTAAATCAAACCAAAATAAGCCATATTCTCTTAACAATCAATCCAAATAGAATATTTATAGAAAAATCCAGGTGTTATTGGATCCAGATCTGCTGCTTTTCCTCTATAAACAAAACATGGGGTTCCCCCCTCAACAATCACAAAAAATTATCTTTGCTTGCAGCAACATCAATGCCCACGCACTTATGAAATCCCTTTCCTTTCCTTGTTACAGCGCTCTTGCTGATAATACCCTTTGGAAGAGAAGAAAGGGGTGGAATGTATTAAGACAATAATACCCTTTCATTTTGAAAAAAAAATAAAAATTAATAATTGTTAAATACTTATGGTGCGTTTGATTTCGAGTATGGAGTTTATATGGATAGAAAATAAATTATAGTCAATTCAATTGTCTAGAACTTATTTGTATGGAAATTGTTAAATAAATATGTTTGATTGATTTAGTGTTGACCTAATAAATAATATTTGTCCATTTTTTATTGATGGATAAATGAAAGATAATAGATAGATGAGAGAGAGAAAGAGGGAGTGAATTACTTGAAAAATAAACATCGCCAATCCAAGAGAAAATATTTTCCTTATTTTTTAGAAAAATATGATTACGTGACCAAAAATTGAAAAATATTTTTCATCGAAAAAATTGTCAATCAAACACTCCGAAAATTGGAATTTGGATAGAAAAATGATTTTTTTCATGAAAAATAAAATCAATCAAACACACTAGAAAAAGTTGGATGGAAATGAACGGAGTGACGCTTTGCACAATCAAATGTGTAATTATGCGTGTTGCACAAAACAGTGAAAAGTAAGAACGTTTCATGCTACTTACCCAATATTTTGTTCTTATTTGTAAACTAAAAATTATTGTTTTTGTCTTAATCCAATATATATTCTAAAGATTGAGGACCAATATGCAATATTTCCATAATGCGAATTTGAAAAGTGAGCAACTGTGACTGTGATCCTAGTCATGTGACCGACAGACAGCTTTTTGGTTAAATCTCACATTCTGCCAAACTCCATCCAACGGTTATTCTCTTCTGAACTAAGAATTCAACGGTTCTGATTTCACCGAGTTTGTCTTCGCACAATTCAAGGCAGATTTTAAAGTTTAACCGTCCATCGTGCCCACTAAAAGGGCAAAATAAAAACAGTAACCAAAAGCCGCAAAAACAAAAAGTCTTCATTTTTAGAGAGAAAAAAAAAAGGGTGAAGAAAGGGGGAAGGATCATCTTCATCCTTACCATATAGTCAGACTCATCACTCACACAGAAGGGAAGACAGTGAAATGGAGAAGGAGAGAGAGCAGCTAGTTTACTTGGCTAGGCTTGCAGAGCAAGCTGAGAGATATGATGGTATATATATTGAATAAGGAAAAGAAGAGATCTTCATATTTTGGGTGTATTGTGATATTCTTGTTCTGAAATTAAGTTCTGGGTTTGTTTTTGTTTGTGTTTGTATTATCGGGTTGGTATAATTTTTGTGTTTCGACAAAAAGTTGAGAAGTTTTGGGGCTCTTGTTTACTTGATTGTTTATTTGGTGAATTATTGTGTTTTTTCTTGGATTCTTGATGAATTTTTCTTTGTTTATTGACTGGTAGTAGAGTAATTTGCGATCTACACATTCTTAATTCTGCATGATTATGAGTAACAATTTTCTATTTTTATTTAATTTTCTATTTTTTTTAGTGCAGGTGGAATGCATTGACTATATCTTGTCTTTTTGGTATTGAACTATGTAATTTATTTGAGTTAATTGGATTCTGATTTATTGCTCTTTCAAATTATATCCAATTGACTCTATAAATCTTGTGTGAATATAAAGATACGCTAGATTTTGTGGGTTACAATTGAGTAGTTCATTTCAGTCTTTGGTGACACCGTTAACTATCATCCTCTAGTAGAGGAAGAATAGATCTGCAGGTTTTAAGATGATTTTGACGGAGTGCTGTTGTAGCTTGTTTGGTTCTAAAATTTCCGGGTTTTGTTAAGTTAGAGGTTGAAGGACCGTCCAAAGTGAGGGATTTGGTTTTGCGATGATCGATAAATGCTACTAATTTAATCAATTTAAGACTTTAAGTAGTTGCTTGAATGCTTCCGTAAATCCATAGTTAAATCTTTGTACTTTGTGATTATTTGGAACTTGACATATATAGGAGTCCTGTGTCCCCTGATGTCTACGTCTTTTCCCAAATTTTGTTTTTGCAGAAATGGTTGAAGCAATGAAAAATGTTGCAAAATTGGATGTAGAACTGACTGTTGAGGAGAGGAATTTGGTGTCAGTCGGTTATAAGAATGTCATTGGGGCAAGAAGGGCGTCATGGCGGATTCTGTCTTCTATTGAGCAAAAAGAGGAGAGCAAGGGGCACGAACAGAATGTAAAGAGGATAAAGAGTTACAGACAGAGGGTTGAAGATGAGCTCACTAAGATATGCAATGACATATTATCAGTAATTGACGAGCACCTCCTTCCATCTTCCTCAACTGGAGAGTCGACTGTTTTCTATCACAAGATGTGAGTTCTTTTTATTATCAAATTTCTCTCTCTCTCTTTCTATATGCATATAATGTTTGAAAGGTATTTGTTCTCCTAACGACATGATATGTTTGTCAAAATTATGATGTTTGGTGGGGCTATATGAGTTAAACACCATGCTTTCTCATTCTTCTTTCCATGTGATTATCTGTGAACGGCTTATTTTGTGGCTGTGTCTTTGCTGCGTAAAATAAACTATTTTATAAGAGAGGAATTATATATGGCATCATCTTCTTCCACACATTTCATTAATATTTGACTTGTTGCTTACATCAATAGACTTTAAATTGCTTTTAATGCGATTTTTTCTAGTTTTAATCAAATTTATATTTTTTGTTGGTCACTTTTACCATATTTAACTTGCAGCATAAATTGCAAACTTTTATTTTTACTTTTTAAATTTGAGTCTGTGTCCAGAAAGGGAGATCACCAGCATCATTTAATTATATTCAATTAAATTTTCCTCTAGGAAGGGAGACTATTATCGTTATTTAGGTGAGTTCAAAACAGGAGATGATCGCAAAGAAGCAGCTGACCAGTCACTCAAGGCATATGAGGTTTTTTTTCTTTTATCGAGTTGTAACTTCCTTTGCTATAGCTCTTCTTCTGTCTTGCACATTTTGTGTCGTCTCTCATGTTTATGTTCTTCTTAACATTAAGCCAAAATCTGATGGTTGGAATTTATAGAAGTGTTATCTTTCTTGTCCATTTATGACGAACCCTAAAATTTTCTGAAATTGATCTTCTATATTGCAGGCTGCCACCAGCGCTGCATCCACAGATCTTCCCCCTACTCATCCCATCAGACTTGGTCTGGCTCTAAACTTTTCTGTCTTCTACTATGAGATCTTGAATTCGCCTGAGAGGTTTGTTAAATCTCTCTCTCTCTCTCTATTAAAAATGGACATGCATATACTTTTCTGCTCATGTACATAATAAGAAACTTTGTGTTACATTTGACACATCAATCAACTTCAGAGGAACCAAACTTTCAGAAATTTTCGCCACCTAAGATTGAAGTTTAATGCTATTTTTGTGTCATGTAAATTATAGTGTATGTTTGGTAAATAGTATTAGAAACGACAGAATAGTATAAGTCTCAAGCTTTTAGCTACATCGTATTCGTCTTATTGATGTCCAATATTATACAGTCCTTCATATCAAACATGCTAATGATTGTGTTATTCTTTATTGGGAATTATCATGCTGTGATAGGGCTTGCCATCTTGCCAAACAAGCTTTTGACGAAGCAATTGCGGAACTTGATAGCCTCAATGAAGAATCCTACAAAGACAGCACTCTCATCATGCAACTTCTTAGAGATAATCTTACATTATGGACATCAGATCTTCCAGAAGAGGGAGGTACGTTGCGGTTCACTTTCTTCTCAGTCAATTTTCAATCTTTTTCTCCATTCCCCAAATGGTTCCCAGAAATAAATGTTAAATTATGTTGGAAATTCCCATGTTTTTGAATTTGTCTAGGTTCCTGAATAAATTGAAAAATACTTGGAAAAGTTTCGATTTTACTCTGGCTATTTAATAAATAAACTTTAGATAAAAGACCCATGCAAGGCTTGAGTCTCTAATATAGATGGGAGCAATTACTTCTTCTACAATTTACCACTTCTTTTTTACTGAATGGAAAATTGAACTGATAAGAATTCATAACTTTCGTTTGGCAGGTGAGCAATCCAAGGGAGATGATGCTCAAGGGGAGGTAAGATTTTACGACTGTAATTCTGTTCTTCCCCCAGTTTATAACAAAAGTTACTCGTTTCACAATAAATTATGAATCCTATGTTTTGACTAATAAGATGCACCATGACTCAATAATATGGATCAAACCATCTATTGTGTCAAGTATTTGAGTGTTGAAATTTTCGACTTCCTTTTCAAGATAGCAGCTTTTACTAAAAGTAAAGTTTACTAGCTGTTACTTCAGCCATTAGAATTTTTTTCCTAATAATTTAAATTCGAGTTTCCATTGCATAATATCACTTGCTTCTGTTACTGGAACTTTGCAGAGCTAGCTGGTGATGTAACGCGAAATGATTGACGTGCTAGCATGCAAAAATTGCTGTTATTTTAAATGAAATACATGTTCTGTATTATTTATTTTCTTGTTGAAGAACATCTTGAACTGTCATTGTCTTTCCATTTTGAATGAAAACAGATTAATGTTGAAATCTTAATCCCTCCTCCCCTCTTCATTTTCCTTTGCTCTTTCTGTTGACCGATGACCTTTTGTTTTTCTTATTATTGTGAATCTATTGAATTAACAATGTATTGGATAAGACAGTTAGTTAATGAATGAGCAACCTTAATATTTCAAACATAATTTGTTAGAAAATTGTCGGTTTTATTTGGAAAGTATGCAGCAACAACAGAAATACTGAAAATGAGGAGAAAAAAAATATATTCATCTTGGCTTTACATAAATATTAATAATACAATTATGAAAAAAAATTACATTCTACAACATTCCCTGCTGCGGGCGGGGCACGATTTGGGAGGCAAGAAAAATGTTTTTAATATCAGGGTTTAGAAAATCAACTGGTTCTGGTAAATCATTTGTGGTTTTGGTGATTTGCGGTTGGATTCATAGGTTTTGAATTTAGTAGGAAATTTTTCAAATGCTTATGGCATTCCTTGGCTTTCTCATGAATGAAAGCATGGCCTGTGTTCTTGATCACTACTAGCTCTGCATTTTCTCCCAAATGCCTGCAACCAAATTTAGAAACAGAGTTAATGAAGCCACTTTTAAGTGAACTTAGAATCTGTTGAATCCAACTAAATTTACCTTTTCAATCTGTAAGCAAGTTCTAAAGGAAAAATCCGATCTTGATCTCCCCAGATTACTAGTGTTGGCTGCAATTATGAACACAATTTTTCATCATCTTCTTGATAATATGGCGATACTTGAACCTTCATATATAGATAAAATGTACCTGAGTGATCTTTGGAAGGTCTGAAAGTTTTCTGTCTTTCGGAATTGCACGGAGCAACTCTTTCTTCTCCTCAACATATTGCATACACATTTCCTAATTTGAGACGACAAGAACCAAGTTAGTTAAAAATGGCTACCAAAAACTATTAATTCGAGGCTGATTTGATAAGAAAAAGATGAAAAAACTGAATATTCAAGAAAATGACGAATAGGGTACTTACGTCAATGAAGTCGTTAAGCAAACAAGAGGGTATTCCCTTAGGCGGCTTCACAAAAGTTAAAGCAACCAATTCCCTCATTTTCTCCGCCGTCTGCGGCAGCAGGATTTTGGCGGCGTCCTCCACGTCCGCCACCGGAAACAACCCCATCTTCAAATCATTCTCCTCCAAGCACACCCCAGCACACATTACCACCACCTTCTCCACACAATCTTTAAACTGCGCAGCCATACTGTACGCCACAAACCCACCATAACTCAACCCCACCACAATCATCTTCTTCCCTACAGAGTTGGCATCCATAACTCGCTTAACACACTGAGCCTGGAACGACTCGGTCCTTTCCGTCCGAGTCGTGAATGATTCTCCGAAGAATACCAGGTCCGGGACGTAGACGTTGAAGTGAGGTGCCAGGAACCGGACCGTGTCGTACCATTGCCACAGAGCGTTGGCCCCGAACCCGTGTATCAGCACCAGATCCTGTCGGGTCGGTTTTGGGAACTTGGGCACCCAGCAGTGCATTACAGTACCATCACCCAGGTCAGTGAGAGTCGATCGGAGGCCCAAACTGCTGAATCCGGATCTGAGGCACCAGTTTCTTGATGCAGTTAAGCTGAAACATTTAGACATAACTAACGCTAACACTAACGCTAACGCTAACACCGATTCTTTACAGTTTTACACAATTACAGACACCAGAAAGAGAGGTCCCAAATCGAAATTAAACTGTTTAAAGATTGGCTTTTGTTTCTTGTTTGTATGGCAGGGATGGGTCACATGAGGTGTCATTCTTAAATAGAATAATAATTCTGACACGTTAGAATCATGGTGCGTTTTCTTTATTGACCTCAACTTTTTGTTCATATTCAATTACTATTTATTTTCTTTACTTTGAATCGACATATGAGGAAGTTCTTATTGACTACAAATAGTACAACTTGGCTTGCTTCTGGATATTGTTTGAATCTTCTCTTTGCGAAGATAGATTATTCAGAATAAAAGAAAATGAAAAATAGAAACCAAATTAGGAAATGGGAACTAAATGAAGAAGAATCAAAGCAGGTTATTTATGGTGACCTATGTAGTGATGGAATATGATTTTCTGGAAAGGTCGAAGCCACAAATTGTGTGGGTTTTTCATGACACGTGTCATCCATTTTTGGGTGTGCGGGAATTCATCCTCAATTAGTTGAATAGTATTCCTTTACGGCTTTACTCTTTATAATCCCCATATTTATAAAAAAACAATTATATTTTACATTGCTCTAAGCATTATTATTGGATAATTTTTTTTTATCACGCTTATATCATTTACTTTTCATTGCATTCTAATCATCTACCTTTTATTAATTATAACAATTGTCATTAATGACGATTTTCGTTCAAAAACTCTATTAACGTGGTTTAGATAATGGGGAAAAAATCTTTAATCGCTCTTTTGTATTAATATTTTTTCTTTATTAAGTAATACAAAGGACAAATAAGTTTTTATGCAAACTTGACATAATATTTGCATGAATCATCAAAGGCATGATATTCTAATTATTATTAGGTTGAAAATAAGAATGTAATGATTTTTTTTATTTTTTTTAAATATAAGTGAAATTATGGCGCATTTATACAAAAAAAATAAAAATACTATAGTGTCAATATAATCGTAAATAAAATGTTTTGTGAATATTATTGAATCAAAAATATAATAAATAAGATTTTTGTCTTTTAACATTATTAAGATTACATGAGGTAGTAGTTTGTATTTGATTGGAAGTATGCGAATGAGTTGAGACGACATGATAAATTTGTAAAGCATGAGCAGCTCTCATGTCATTATTATCCATTTTGTTAATATTTTATTGAGATCAAGATCGAGTTCAAATACATACTTATGTTAGTTATCTGGATTCAAATCTCATTTAACATGTGTTTGAGCTCCATTTCTTGTTGGAAATACATACTGTAATAGTTAATTTTTGAAAAATGTGTGATAAGAAATTTAAAAATAAAAAATAAAATTGATTTACGTGTAAAATATTTTCTCATAAGAGTATGTTGTTAAAAATGAGTTTAAGAAAAAATGAATTTTAAATAATGGGATCTGCTTAGTTGAAACTCAAAGAGAATAAAAAAATTAAATCGAATTGATTGATTGGAACATTTCAGTTCCAAGTTTAATCCAAGAGTCAAGATTGCACAAAATTAGGCTTCATTGATTCATATCAGTTAACCCAAATTTGGCTTCTAAGTATAATCTGAACATTTATTGCATAAGAATTAAGATCATTAATTTTCCAGAGGACCAGAACAATATATTTGATCTAAACTGCGATGCTGACAGAGAAAAAGAAAAGTACCAAAGCCAGCGAAAAACCAAAAAACATAGCAAAAATTTTCTGGGTTATCTTAAAGCTTGGA